TCAGCCGCGCGCCGCCATGTTCGCCCGCGCCGCTCACCACAAATCGCCTCCCGGGCGCCGCTGCACCGCCCGCCGCGCCGCCCCACCCGCGGGAGGAAGGGCGAGGACCAGCGGCCCCGGAGGCGTCTGGGCTTGGAGACGTCGATGGCAAAGCTCTCCCTCGCGGCCCGCCCGGCCCTGCTCGGAGTCCCGCGGCCGCCGGAGCCCGGTGGGGGAGGGGAGAGAGCCGGAGCGGCGGGGGCCGGGGGTCAGCCGCAGAGCATCACGGGAAGGGCGGCGGGGGTCGCGGCGGCGGCGGACGCGCTCACCGCTGCCACCTGCGGCTGCGGCGCGACCCGGCGGAGGGATCTGGCGCCGGCGGCGCGGTGATTGGCCGCTTGGGAGGCAGCGCTCCTCGTAGATGCTTCCGCAAGCTGGCCAGGTGTGAGCCCAGCAGGGAGGCTGCAGGCAAGCAGTGGTGTGAGTGCGGGCTGGGAAACTGGCACCGCTGAACTTCACACTTTTTAAGTTTTGAGAACTTCAGAGACCGGAGCCCCTTCTTCCGTCGTGTAATGCAGCCGCGTGGCTGCTTGGTTCGTCCCCGCGTTGACATCTCTGGGGGGCGAAGCCAAGGAGCTATTGTTCTGTAGCAGACGGAGGTTGTGCCGATGTCAGCACCTTTGGGAGCACCTTGCTAGCTCGGAAACAAGGGCAAGGCGAGCTCTGTGAGGTTAGTGAATCCGAGGAAATAAGTTTTGTAACGCAAATATATTCCTTAAGCATCTGGCCTATTTAATAAGAACGATGTTTACCTGTAGATACGAAACAGTCTACCATGAGTGGTCAGGCAATTCTTTTGATTGGTGTGTCCATAGCTGACTCTACCAAAACTGTTTATCCCCAAAGAAGGTGTCCTGGCATGAAGTGACTTATAAGGGTAAGATTCAAGTACACCACAGATAGTCAAAGGAGTCATGGTATATTCCCAGCAAATCAGATCAGACTGGAGGGTATATTTGCGAACTTTATTACAGGAACTCTTAAAAACAGAAAAGAAAAAGACCAAAATCCTGAACGAAAACCGGGCAAGGAGATGAACAGACAGGTCATAGACAAAGAACAACTATGGTCTTTAAACGTGAAAGGATGCTCAACCTCACAAAAACGCACCTGAAGTCACATGCGTTGAAGTTACAAGTCTGTGGAGAAGCTGGGAGTGGAAGATGATTCATGTTCTATGGAGTACCAAAACTACATATGCATTTATCTTTATTGCAATTCCACTTCTAACCCTAATGTTATTCTGAAGATCCCGTCCAGTTGCCCTGGACTGGACTCTGACTCATGATAACCCCATGTGTGTCAGAGTAGAACTATACTCCACAGAGTTTTCTATGGCTGATTTTTCGAAACTAGATCGCCAGGCCTTTTTTTCCCCGGGCACCTCTGGGTGGACTCAAACCTCCAACCTTTCTATTAGCAGCTAAGCACATTAACTTTTGACACCACCGAGGGACTAGTCTGAAGATACAGCTCCACCAATAAAAACAACACAAACTGTTGGTGCTGGACTACTAATCTAAAGGTTGGTGGTTCAAACCCACCCCAGGGTACTGTGAAGAAAGGCTTAGTGATCTATTTTTGTTAAGATTACAGCCAAGAAAACCCTATGGAGCGGATCTACTCTGTAACACATGGGGTTGCCATGAGTCTAATTCACCCAATGGCAAGAGGTTTGGTTTGAGTTTCATTCATTGCAGTGCTATCTGTCATAGCTAAAGTTTGGAAATAACCTAAGTGTCCATTAATAAGAAACTGGCTGGCATTTATACACACACACACACTCATTTTTATTTTGTGAGAAAAAAATTGAAATAATATCCTAGAAACTAATAAAAATCATCATCTATAGAGGGTGTGGGAGGTAGGATGTGAAGGGGAGAGAGATAGAAGCAAGACCTCTCTTCACTTTGAACTTCTGAAGTTTTACATAGTCAAAAAGTAAACAAAAAAGGAAACAAAGTAAACCCCCAAAATGAAAGCAAGTTGGAACAAAAGCCTAACTCTACTTCAAATTGGTAACAACTGTTAAAAAGAGAAAAGGACTTTTGACCACAGTACTCTGACGTATCTTTTGGGATATATTCTAAGGATGAAAAAGAACAGCAAAAGGAAGCTTCAATTTCACTCAGTGGTTTATAATGAACGGTAATTTTGTTACTGTGGCTCTGAATCTATGTGTATCATGTGATAACACAAATGAGTTAGGTTAATGTTATGTACAAAGACTTTTCAGTGTAAGAAAAAAAAGAGATATAAAATCAAAGAAGTTCAGAAAAGCCCAGTAATGTTAAATTTAAATTGAAAATAACAATTTGGACACATGATTTAAAAAATAAATTTTCTAGTTCTGTGCACTGAAAGGGCCTAGAAGCACTCAGGTGACCAACTGTCCCTATTTGCCCAGGACTAAAGGTTTACCTGGGATGCTGGACTTCAGTGCTAACACTGGGACTGTTGCAGGCAGGTGTGTCTTGAGTCAATCTCTTTTGAGATATAAAGGAGATTATATAAGCAAGCAAGCGGCAATGATGGGGGAAGAGAGATACCAGGCTACATGAAAATTGCCCAGGAGCAGAAGCTCAGAAGAGACAAGGACCTTCCTCCAGAGCTGGCAGAGAGAGAAAGACTTCCCCTAGAGCCTACACCCTGAATTTGGAATTCTAGCCTCTTAAACTGTGAGAAAATAAGTTTGTTAAAGCCATCCACTTGTGATATTTCTGTTATAGCAGCACTAGACAACTAAGACATCTGCCTTTTTGAAAAAGGAGATCTGTGGTTTATCCAGGGCTTCGAACTGGTTCATTCGGGTTTGAAGCCCTGCTGCAAACTGCATTTCCACCTCAGATATACTGAATCACAAGCTACACTTTAACAAGGTCCCCAGGTGATTCTTATGTATAATAAATTTTGAGAACCACTGCTCTGCTAGTGATTCTCAGAATTGGTCCCTAACCAGGAGTATTAGCATGGTCAGAGAATTTGTTAGAAATGCAAATTCTCAGGTTTGAAGCCCTGGGTTCATCCCCAGTGGATGAGAAAAAAACTCTTTTTTACAATAGGATGCCAGCTAATAAATGTAGAACAAGTGATATAATTAGAAAATAACCATTATGCAACCCTCAATGAAATAAGGATTATCAATGGATCAAAAGTTAGGTGATAGATGGCTGGGAAATAGAATATCCAAGTAGTACCAAATTATCACCCCACAGGTTCCTTATTTAATTGTAAAGAGGAAAGCACATCTTTATAGTGGAGCCATCTAGTCACCACCACCTGAACCATGGGATCAAATTTAATGTAAGCAATAGGAGAGGAGCCCTGATGGCGCAGTGGTTAAGAGCTAGGGTGAGCCATGGCTGCTACCCAACAAGTCGGCAGTTCAAATCCACCAGCCACTCCTTGGAAACCCTATGGGGCAGTTCTACTCTGTCCTGTAGGGTCGCTATGAGTTCGATTCAATGGCGATGGATTTGGTTCTTGGTAATAGTAGTAGGAGGAGCCCTGGTGGCAACCGGTTTGTTCAGGTTTGAACCACTGCTGAGAATTTGCATTTCCACCCCAGATATACTGAATCACAGTCTACAGTTTAACAAGCTCCCCAGGTGATTCTTATGTATAATAAAGTTTGGGAACCACTGCTCCACTAGTGGTTCTCAGAACTCGTCCCTAACCAGCAGCGCTAGCATCGCCTGAGAACTTGTTAGAAATGCAAATCTCAGTAGGGGTGTGAACTGGCAGGAACTTGTTTGAAGCCCTGAGTTAAGCACTTAGCTGCTAACCAAAGGGTCTGCAGTTCGAACCCACCGGCCAGTCTGTGGGAGAACTATCTGGCAAAATGCTCCCATAAAGATTTCAGCCTAGAAAACTCTATGGGGAAGTTCTGCTCTGTCCTATTGGGTCACTGTGAGTCAGAATCGACTGGATGGCACACAGCAACGATAGGAGGACAGGAGCCCTGGCAGTACAGTTGTTAAGCACTAGGCTGCTAACTGAAAGGTCGGCGGTTTGAACTCACCAGCTGCTCCTTGGAAGAACAATGTGGCAGTCTTCTTCCATAAAGATTACAGCCTCGGAAACCCTATGGCTCAGTTTTACTCTGCCCTGTAGGGTTGCTGTGAGTCAGAATCAATTTGATGGCAATGGGTTTAACAGTCGGACAGGAGTCCCTGGGTGCTGCAAATGGTTAATGCATATGGCTGCTAACCGATGGAAGTTCAAGTCCACCCAGAGGTACCTCGGAAGAAAGGCCTGGTGATCTACGTCCAAAAATTCAGCCACTGCAAACCTTATGGAGCACAGTTCTACTTTGACCCACATGGGGTCCATGAGTTGGAGCTGACTCAACAACAACCGGTTTTAACTTGATAATATGTACCTCCGGTTTACAAAAATACAGGACAAAGAGGAACAGTAGTAGTACAACTCTGACATGTTGTTGTTAGGGTCTGTCATGTCTGCCCCAACTCATGGTGACCTCATGCACAATGCTAGCAAAATTAATTATTAAAAAAAAAACCAACTTAATGAAACTATAAGCAATAATATTTATTGAGCCCCTGAGTTAGGCCTAGCACAGTCCTCAGTATCAACATCCAACCAGCTTCAAGCTACCATTTCAAATAAGACATCAAAGTATGATGTGACATATTACTGTATCAGGTGACACATACGATTGAGTTACATTGATGTAAAATACACTAATGTTAAATAAATTGGCCACTTCTTTCCCATAAGCCTATAAGCTATGACTTAGCCTACAACCTATATTCCCACTTCTTTGATTTGGAATCACCTAATAAACTATTGAGAAGAGGGAGGCCAGAAGAAGAAAGGAAAAGGCCTTTGCAGTGAGTCTGGCTGGCCTTTGTCACGTGGTACCCGACAAGTCCAGGGAGCCAGGCAATGGTCAGAATTGGTGGTTGAGAAGATGACAGCGGTTTGCTGACACTCTCTTGAGCTCAGGGCTGGTGTGATTCTGACCCTGCACACGACACCATACTGTTTCGTGAGCCAGTACCTTGGCTCAGTCCATTCTTTCTGTCTGGGATGCTCTTCCTTACCAGGGGAACTTCTATTCATCTTTTGCAATTAGCTTAAGAGACATGATTTATTTAGCTTACTATATGTCAATCACTGAGATCTGTCGTTTTCCTGATATGGGAGCTAACCC